GTATTCTGTATAATCATCTGGAACTCAGATGAGAGCCAGCTTTCTTTCTATTGTCCCTTTTCTTTCACATTCAATATTTTTCCTCCAGCTCTATGAACTGCTCTTGATTATAAACTCTACTAATTCTTTGATCCGCGAACAAGCATGTTGTTTAAGTGCTCACAAACAAATCTTCCACATCTTCCCCGGGCTTCTTATCCACATATGGTATCAGTCTTTTATAGATCACTACACCGTGAATGGAGCCATGAGGACTGTCTCCATAATTGAATCCTGCATCTCGGATAAGGGAGATAGAATTTCTTCAGTTGGGGCTGCTATACATTGATTTGCTGAAAATGTCACATTTGAGTACACAAGCTAATCCTGTACTTCAGCATGATAAGTAAACAGCAATAAAGCAGGTGCTGCAAATGACAGGATCAGTCCATACAAAACCAACTATGGGTTAACCCGCATTGCAGGCATACATTCGTTTTGGGTTTCAAGTTCCCACCTTACCAGAAGACAGCAATGAAGCATGGTAATGTCATTGGTACTTCCTGGAAGAGTCAGAAGCCAGGGCCCAAGTAAGTATAATTATTTTTGGTAGCATCCTTCTAGCATAGAATGCGAGGAAACTGTTTGGCTCCTTCTGCAATCAAGGGAGCAATGATTGTTTGCTGTGGCCTGATCAGAAATTTTATTTCTTCCCACTGCCTCTGGAAGAAGTTTCCAGGGCTTAGGACGGTAGATTCAAAGCAGCGCTAATAATTTATTTATTTCCAGACAATCCCTGAAGAGGAGTGTTCAGCAGGGGGCTGGAATGGAGATAAATAACTGAAGAGCAGAGTTCCTTCTCCCCAGGAGGGTTTCAGAGGTGTAGAGCTGCTGCTGCCGAGCTGCCCATGGACCATGCAGCTGCTCTAGAAGGCCTCAGAAGCTCCAGGAGTAAATGCAAGTTGCTCAGAAATTGACCACAGAACCACACCAAGGATCTGGTCCTGAGAGGCGACTGGGTTGTGTCCAGAGGAGGCTGGAAGCAGGCAGCTGTCATTGGGGACTTGTGAGTAATGACCCTAAGTTGATCCTTGAGACTGTTCTTGGTGCAAAGTATCCAGACATCTAAAACACTTGCCTCGTGGCTGTCAGCTGTGATGACATAGACTGCCCAGTATTCTACTAGTACTAAGGTGAGACACTTACAGTGTGCCAATGAGGTTTGCCTTATGGTTTCCAGCTGTGAGGCCCTAACGGATTAAAGAATTACTTCATGGTCTTCAGCTGTGAGGGCTTGGACTGTCCGCTATCCACTATTATATGCCAATAACTTTGCTTCATGGTCTTCAGCTGTGAAGTGTTAGCCTACTCAGTCACTTTATGGTCGTCAGCGGTGGGGGCCCTAGATTGTCCAACTTCTGTACAGTTCTGTAAGAATTTCCTCCAACTGCTATATGTTGCATGTTCTGGAGTATCCAATTCCCTAATCCTTATCCTGCCTCATATTCTACCAGCAATAAAGTGCAAAAAAAAACAACCTGTAGAATGCTTTTTGGAGCCCTTGTGAATGGACTGTTGCTTGGGTGGCTGGAGGCCTCTGTACTGTTTGGGAAAGAACCAGTTAAAACCAGTGGCCCATGAGGGTGTAGTGCTACATTTGTTTTCAAGGGCTGTATTTTTCATATGTATTTGGGGGATTGGAGGATGTCTGTAGCTAGAAACCTTTATTCTACGGAAAGCACAGAACTACATTTTTAATTTTTTTTAAATAGCTGGGGAAAACTGTCTGAATGCATACCTGCAAAAGTTTCTTCTGTGGCCATAGCCAATGTAACCCAATGTAAGTACTTTATATATATTCAATCCCTCCAGGACCTCTGTGTAAGTGGAAAATCACTGAAGTAGTCATTGCTACTACAGTGATCATTGTGGTTTTCTAGGTCCTGTGTTTATTGGATGACCTTCTGCATAGGGAACACAGGGGGGCCTTGTTTAGCCTTTTTTTTTTTTTTAATGGATACAAGGTGTTCACTGATTGAAGGTGGAGGTTGTGATGTCCCTGTCTAACTTCTATACCTTATCCAATCAGAGAACGTCTTGTATTCATTGGAAAAAAATGCAAGGCGGTCCATGAATGGCGGCTGTGCCGAGTAAGCAACCCCCTGTGTTCTCTATCTAGAAGGGCAGCCACTTGGCACAAGATCCAGAAGACCATGTGATCACAGCAATAGTGCCAAATACTACAGTGATTCCTCGCTTCCACAGCGGTCCCACAGGTATGGAATATGCATGCTTAGATTAGCTATTCAATAACAAGCATTCAGAGTTCAGCTCTGAGCCATTTTTCAACTCATTACTTCTAATGGCACCTTTTTCTGGGATAAAATGTGGTAAATTGCAACTGTGACTACAATGTACTTATCAAAGTGCTATAATCTATTTTCTGGAATTCAATAGGTCTAACTCTCAAACAATGGCCCCCATTAGATTGGAAGCTCCAAGGAGCAGGGCCCTCCTAACCCTCTTGTATTGAACTGTATTGTTGCTGTATTGTTTCCTGTTATATTGTAAAGTGCTGAGCAAACTGTTGGTGCTATATAAGTCCTGTATAATAATATTAATAATAATAATAATTTCCACATACTTCGGCCCACCATTTCATTTGAGTTTGACTTGCTTGCCATAATATGTTCTTAGAGGCATTTGTATCTAAAGGAGATTGAATTCATGCACACGGCCATCCCTAAAGGCAATCTTACTTGGCCTCGATTGTCATAGCACCTATTGAGTTTCTTAGGAGCGAGTACAGAGGACGAGTTCTAAGTTGCAAGACACAGAATGTGCAGATAATGTGTGCAGTGAGGAGGAAGCAAGATCAAACCCAGAATGTGTTCTATAGGATACAATGGCAAATCCTTGAGAAAATCATGAATGTTCAAAACTGAACTGGGGCCCTTCCCTACCCTTCCTCACAAATTATCACCCCTCACGTTTTCCTGCTTTCCTCTTCCACTACCCTTCCCTTTCACTATTTTTACTACTTTCACTGATATAATCCCTTTGTAATCCATTGTTTTGTGGTCATAATATATGAAAGCAACTTTTATATTTTAGTCATTTGCATAACCATGTATTACATTGCCTGTTCAAGGAGTATCCTGCTGTCCTCTTTTTGTTGCATCAATAAATAAACAAACTTAACGTGTTACTAAACCCAGGACCCTGCATTCACTATATCCGTAGACACAACATGGAAATGCAATTATTTTGTAAGTATAAACTGCTAAATACCTTTTCTTCCCCCCCCCCGCCCCCCCCCCCCCCCCCCCCCCCCCCCCCCCCCCCCCCCCCCCCCCCCCCCCATCAGCAGTTAGAGCAGTCTTGTGACTTCTATCAGTATCCAGCAGAGCGCTGGTTAAAGCTTGTAGAAGGAGTTTTCACTCTCCCCTGATTGTCCTATGAGGCTGCATAACCCCTGACCCTCTGTCTGGACAGTGCTGATTGGCCCTGTGCTGATCACATGCACTCTCCCCCCCCCAAAAAAAAACTCTTGCAGTACACACCAAACTGAGCATGTGCAGCTTACACCCAAAGCTCTGTTCTATCAGCAAATGGATTGGGGGACAGTAGAAGAAAGGGAGGATCAGAGAAGTCAGGATCGATCAGTCCTTTTTACACAATGCAGAGGATTAACCCCTTAGGTTCCACAGTGAGTATAACAAGCATGATTTACTGCATATACAGACTGGTTTTACTGTTGTGGGTTTAGTAACACTTTATTAAAAAAAAAAAAAGATCATTACCAGCATCCATAGCACTAACCTTTTTAAAAATACATGATGGTTTACTACTGAAGAATTGGAAATCTAGTTGTGTATTGCAGAAAAAGAGGCTTAATCTAGATAACGTGTAGGTGAATCTAATGATAAATATGCTCCATATAAATGCAGCTCTGTACAAGGCATGACAATTTAATTTCGGAATGTCCAAGGCGTAGCACCATGGTGGTGAGTTACACAGCCATTCGCACTCACGTGTGTTCTGGCATGTTCTAACTTGCACTCACCTGGGTGGCAAACCAATTGACTCAGTCTTTATAGAGTAGTAGAAGATGTGACTGTGTGTGTGCTGCGCTGTTGGTGGAAATGAGTGACAGGAATCAGGAGCAGCGGATTAATATTGCATTTTGAATGAAAATTGGCAAACGTCTGAGTGCAACTTTAGCTCTGTTACAACAGGCTTATGGTGAACATTCCATGAAGAAATCAAGTGTTTTTGAATGGCGTAGGTGATTTATGGAGTGCTGGGAAGATGTTTGTGATGACACAAGACATAGGAAGCCAAAAAACACAAAGGATGGATGCAAATGTGGACAGATTGTGAAACCCTCATACAGTCAGATTGAAGACTGAGTGTGAGAATCATGACAGAAGAATTGAACATGAACAGGGAAACAGTGTGGAAGATTCGAAGGGCTCGTTCACACTTGACTAATTTCTAACTTTTGCCAAACGCCCCTATAGCATTTGACAGGCATTAGACAGGTGTTTGGGAAGCATTTTTAACGCTCCCCAAACACCCTATGCATGTTTGAGGCGTTTTAAAGGTGCTTGCCAAGCGTTGAAAGTGCACCACAAACACCTATAATGACGTTTAATGGTATAACGCTCCACAAACGCCTTGCAAACACCTTGCAAACACCTGCCAGGTGTTTGAGGAGTGTCACCATAGACTTTAATGGGAGGCTTCAACTCCTCCTGACTGGACTTGAGGCATCCATTTTGCCACATGATGCTAACGCTTCAGTGTGAACAGCACTGTGTGCTGCCATGTGTAAAATTTTCAAGAGCATTAAAAATGCTTCCCAAACGCATGTCTAACGCTTGCTAACAAAGCTAGTGTGAACTTAGTCTAAAAGAGGATTCGGGAACTAGAAAGATTTCCACAAAGATGGTGACTCGAATCTTGACATAAGATCAGAAAAAACCAGGGGCGGACTAACCATTTGGAAACTCGGGCACTGCCCGAGGGCCCGGGGTCAGTAGGGGGCCCCATGAGATGCCCCTGATACCTTTTTCATAGGCTTTTATGAGTCTGGGCAAGGACACAGGGGCCCCATGATCCCCTATTGCCCGGGGACCCCATGAGTTCAGTCCGCCCATGGAAAGAACATAGTCATCAAATTTCATCTGATCTTTTGAAGAATGCAGAGATATTTGATAGGGTTAATTGCGGTCAATTCTGGGAATTAAATTGTCACACCTCATATGTTGCAGATATTTCTGGAGCAGCTTGGGTTGAGCAGGTTTGGGGTGAGCACAGAAACATGTTCTGTAGTGAAATGTCCTTGCTATGTTGTGCTTTTTCTTAATGGTGACAGGTACTCTATACTGTGAATCGCCAGACAGGACACTGTTCGACATCCGGCCTAATAACAAGCTTTTTATCTGCTTTGCTTCCATCATGACATGGAATGTCTTTACTTTCTATTATTGGTATCTAGGGTCAAATATAAATCCTATGAAAACATTCAGGACATTCGGTTTGCTAAGTGCTCAATGATATGTGAATTATAGATCCAAATTCTGAGAACTGGTCCGCTGCCATATATAATAATTTTTTTTAGGTCTCCCCATTGCTGAATGCATGAATTGGAAAGAATAACAAAATGGGAACGGTCGTCAGGAAAGTGGATGAAAATGTGGGACTCTTTCATAAATCAGAGTTATACCCCGGGCAGACTCCATGGGTGGGCTCCGAAACACATAGGTCCTGTATTCATCTTCTGAGCAAGCAAAAATCTTTACAACAGAATATCAGCTCCGTAGTACGTAGGATGTAAAAATAGCGTATATTGTGTGTTACAATGTTGAGGTTCATTTTAAAGAACAACTTTAAACAACAAATATAATCAATCAGTGACCTGCAATTGCTGTAATATATATGCTACATCTTAAAGTATATCTAAATCCCAAAATAAACATTTAATATATTGCAGCCTACCAGATTATTATTATACAGGATTTATATAGCGCCAACAGTTTGCTCAGCGCTTTACAAATATAATGGGAGACAATACAGCAACAATACAGTTCAATACAAGAGGGTTAGGAGGGCCCGATCCTTGGAGCTTACAATCTAAGAGTGTACTAGATCTGGTGTCTGCATTTGTTTAGGCTTTTGTTTTTCTTTTTGTTTGTCGCATAGTTACATAGTCTGGCTGAAAAAAGACAAAAGTCCATCCAGTTCAACTACAGAATAAAAAAAAGTTACAATCTTACACCCACAGCTGACCCAGAGGAAGACATAAAAACCCTCAGCAAAGTATGATCCAGTCCGCTTCTGCTGGGAAAAAAATTCCTTCTTGATCCCCCTAGAGGCAATCGGATATTCCCTGGATCGACTTTACCTATAAATATTATATACAGTTATATTTCTTTGTATCTAAGATACAATCCAGGCCTTTTTTGAAGCAATCCACTGAGCTGGCCAGAACCAACTCTTGAGGGAGTCTATTCCACATTTTCACAGCTCTCACTGTGAAGAAACCTTTCCGTGTTTGGAGATTAAATTTATTTTCCTCCAGACATAAAGAGTGCCCCCTTTGTCCTCTGTGATGACCTCAGGGTGAATAACTCTACACTAAGTTCACTATATGAACCACTGATGTATTTATACATGTTGATCATATCCCCCCTTAATCTCCTCTTCTCAAGAGAGAATACATTCAGTTCCTCTAATCTTTCCTCATAGCTGAGCTCCTCCATGCCTCGTATCAGTTTGGTTGCCCTTCTCTGCACTTTCTCCAGTTCCCCAATGTTCTTTTTGTAAATTGGTGCCCAAAACTGAACTGCATATTCCAGATGAGGTATTACTAATGATTTATACCCGGCAGGGGTGGACTGACAACTCATGGGCCCCCGGGCAATAGGGGATCATGGGGCCCCTGTGTCCTTGCCCAAACTCAAAAAAGCCTATGAAAAAGGTACCAGGGTCATCTCATGGGGCCCCCTACTGACCTCGGGCAGTGCCCGAGTTTCCAAATGGTCAGTCCGCTCCTGGTACCGGGGGGGGGAATATGATATCTCTCTGGAGTCTATACCTCTTTTAATACAAGAGAGGATTTTTTGCTCACTTTAGAAACCTCAGCTTGGCATTACATGCCATTATTAAGCTTGTGATCTACCAGGACCCCCCCAGATCCTTCTCCACCATTGATTCCCCCAGTTGTACCCCCCCCCCCTAGTATGTATGATGCATGCATATTCTTAGCCACCAAGTGCATAAGCTTACATTTATCAACATTAAACCTCATTTGCCACATAGTAGTTGCCCAATTAAACAGTGCATTGAGGTCGGCTTGTAAATTGGAGACATCCTGTAAGGACGTTATTCCACTGCACAGCTTTGGTGTCATCTGCAAAGACTGAAATGGGATTTTTAATCCCAGACCCTATATCATTTATAAATATGTTAAAAAGTAAGGGTCCCAACACTGAACCTTGGGGTACACCCCTGATGACCCCAGACCATTCAGAGTATGAATCATTGTCCTTTAGGAATCCTGCGAATAACATACTTTCTATCCCTGGATGATTACACTCACTCCTCCACTCTATCTATGGAGGAAGCCATAGTTTTTACCCAGGCTGAACTACAAACATGTTTGCCTTTGTTCATCACCATTACATGGGGCATTGGGGAGATTGTTTTTGCCTTCATCTCCCAGAAGTGACAAGGAATTTTCTGTATTTGTTGTTCTGAGCCTAATATAACCAAAATATGAATTGCGCTATAGTGCTAAGCTAAAAACAACAAATTCAATAACAACTGGTGCTGCTGTTCAAGTATGTTGCACTAGTACTAAACAGAAAATTATATACCGTGCTTAAACAGTGTAAATAATTAAAATTAATAGTGTCCACCCAAATGTTCAAATGACTTCAATTCATAGTTTGCGTGCTTACTCCTCTCAAAGTGCTCCGTGCTCAAACCACATGATAAAGTGACAAATGCTCTGAAAAAGTGCTCTTCTTATAGTGACCCCCTTTGTGACCGCACTCGCCTTATTTTTGTGGACCCCTTATTTTCACAATGGAGTCCAATAACGCTTTATCTTGTGGTCAATGTATTTTTCCTTCTGATATCCTGCTGATTGTCAGTCCTTCTATTCAGCCATGATTTTAACAATGGATGTCCTGTAAACTCATGGGGACCTAAAGGAGAGAGGATGCTCTCATAGTGTAATACTGCGTTTATTATAAAAAAGTGTATGAAGTATCGCACTTACAATCAAAATAAAACAAAAAGCTTAAAACTGCAGGGAAAGCCAAGACAATCTCGGAACATTGCTGATCGTGTGTGTTGCACAGACAGGATGAGACGTCACTGGAAACCTGAAAGCTCAGTTCATAATTTGCGTGCTTGTTCTTCTCAAAGTGCTCCATGCTCAAACCACATGATAAAGTGACATGTGCTCTTTAAAAATGATCTTATAGCTTGATGCTTTCAAGGGTTAATTCATATTTAACAAAAAATGGCTTATGCAGGTAAGGACACTTGTAGATAAAAACAAAACTAACAGGCTTTGACTAATTTAGATAATGCCCTTGCTATAAGTGTAATCCATTTACATACCTCCTGAAGCTGTAAAACCATAGCTCCCAACTGTTCCTGATTTAGATGGACTGCCCCTGACTTGGAAAAAAGTCCCTCTGTCCCTCTTTCCTCCTCATATGTCCCTCATTTTGGTCTGATCTATATAATTATATATAAAATGCCCTTTTTTTTATCTTTCAAAAAGTGTTTCCCAGTGATAAACCTTTGATCTAATTTCTACATTTCTGCATTTTTAAGTTTCAAAAGCCAGTAAAAGTCCTCATTCACACTTGACATTTTACAGCGGCTGTTTTTTTAGCTTTTGACGTTTTTTTTCTACAGCCAGTAAACCTGCCAGCATGTTATCCTATGTCTCCATGCACACATAGATTGTAATCAATGTTTTTTTGGCTGGAAAAAAAACCCAGGACTAGTTGATTTCTAGAGGAGTTTTTTAGCTGTAGAAACGCTCTAAACTCTGAAAAATGCGGTTAAACCGCTGCAAACCAGCGTTTTTGGATGTTTTTTTTTGACCCCCCCCCCCCCAATTTTTTTCTCTTGGTAAAAAAAAAACCGTAGTTAAACGCAGCAAAAAGCCACTAAACACTAATGCAAAATTGCTAAAAAGAGCTGAAATTCACGCTTTTAACGTGACTATACACAGCTAATGTTATCAACGAGGACTGGAGGAAAAATAGTGGTTTAAAAAAAGTACTTGTGGGTTTAACTAAACATTTTTTTTTTATAATTCTCCTTTAAGGGGGTGTGGAAGGGTGTGTGTCCTATGCCTATATACTTTACTAATAGGTGTCCCTTGATCCCACCTCAAAACGTTGGGAGGTATGGTAAAACTCCCACAGATGGCATCATCAGCATGTCCTGCCTTGTTGCTAGGATGTTGCTAAGACAATCCCAGCCATTACAGCTCACCCCCATTATCACAGGAGAGAACTTTCAAACCCCCCACACACATATAGTCAACTATTTTTTCTGTTGCAGCACTGCTGAGCTCTGTGTTACTGCGAGGGGAGAGAGAGCACATACAAAGGGTGTTTTAAAACAATTCTAAAGGTTTGGTTTTTCTTTTGTTGTAAAATAACAAACCTGTCTATACTTACCTGCTGTGTGCAGGTAAGTATAGAATGCATGAAGGTAAAAAAACCTTGAGCCTTTACAACCACTTTAAATCTGTGGGGCATGTCTTAGCAACATTCTAGCAACAAGGCAGAACAGGATGACGCCACCTCTGGGAGTTTTTTGGGTCATGCTTCAGAAGGTATGTAAAAGTCCTACACATATAGTAAGGGTGTTTTTATTTATTGGATCAAAACTGCACAGATTGTTTTTATCTACAGGCAACTCTTACCTGCATAAGCCGTTTTTTGGCAAAGGTGAACTATGCCTTTATTTTAAAATGTAACCCCTGTAAGGGCCGCTGGATTTTTGGGTCCCCCTCAGTCAGGCAGCAGGCATTTTTCAGCATTCACTCAGTATTCAAAAATCAGTCCAGGGTAATTTGTTTTTATTTCAGTTTATTAGGGGATAA